CTCTCCTTTATTCCCTCAGCACTTAAAACTCTGTTCCTGCACTCTCACTATCTTCTTAGAACTTAAGTTCTGCCCTCCTCGTGTGAGCCTTGCCTTGGGACCCCATGAGCTCCCTCTAAACTTGGACACATGAGGGCTGGCATTTCCACACTGCACTCATCTCTATTCTGGTTGTGTAACTTGGGTCTGAGCACTGCCCGGAGTCCTATGGAGGCCCTTAGGGAACTCTGACACACCCAGGTCTGAGAAAGGCTTTGAAATCATGGCATTGGCAAAGATACGGTTCCTTGCATAACTCAGATAGGAAGTCAAATCAGGCTTTCCTATGGTTGTAGCTTTTTCTTTCATTCTTTCTTTTGTAATTCAGTATTTTGGTTTGTAATAAGTTGTAATAAACATTTGGGGATGGCTAGTGAAAAGGGTTGGGTGATCATGTATGCTCAAGGTAGAAAACATGCCTATAGGATTATTTAAATTCTTTATGTTCAATTCTGCATTTTTAGACACCATGTCTATAGGGTTTATCTCATTTTCTCCATGATCAATGTCACACCTAGATAACCTGCCTATAGGACGTATTTAAATTCTGCATGCCACTTAGATATCATGTTTTAGGTTCTAAATAGCTAAAAATAAGTGTCATGACCGTAATGCTGAAATCAGTAACATATAGAAATCATGCCTATAGGGGGTTCTTAAATAAATCTGATTCGCTCCATTCACACTCAATGGTAGATATCATGTTCATAGGGTTTAAATCAGCAATAATAGATACCATCACCTGCAGAACCTGAAGCTGGTCCGTTTTAAAATCAGTCTATTCTGAATCAGTTTTAAACAATCTAATTCCCTTACTTAACGAGATTTAGCATGCATGCCTATAGGATCTCAAACAATTCATTTTTTTACTGTTCCGCTGCTTTCTGAATTAAGTAGATATCATGCCTATAGGATCCCGTCCAAACACTTAGGCAAGCCTTAGGTAATAAGAACAATAGAACTGAATTCGCCTTTGTTAATTAGTAACTGCTCCAACCAGCAGGCAGGCCTGATTTGGGCTTCTTATCTGAGGTATCTGATGAATCTGGCTCTGAATCAAACTCCCCTCGTCTTTAGTATTTTAATCAGACCCTAAAAAGTATGTGTAAGTCATGCTAGTTATGTGCTTTTGTTCAAGGAGGTGTATTTGAGCCTGTATCTGCTTATACGCTCCCCCAACATGCAGTATGTGTTTTGTATGTCGCCTTAGATTTTTATCCTTTGAAACCAATTTGCCTAATATCCCTTCCCTTTAGGAATAGTAGTCCTACATACCTGCGAGACTGATAGGAATGGGACGGGTAATAGCATGCAATAGTAATCGAGACCAATCCGCGCTTTAATACCTTAAACAGGGTGGGAAAGGGTAGATATGGATATGATGACCAGTACGCTAATACAACGTGTAGCCCCCCTTTTGAGGAGTGATTGCTGGATATTGCATTGATGTGATCCATATTTTAAATAAACCTAGGACCCCCTTTCCCTTATTTCCCTTTTCTTTTAAAAGCATTGCAACTCCTTGTTTAAAATTAGCTTTAATTGCTCTCTCACATACTTTGTTCCCTTTCAAATTTGAAATCCCCTCTTGTTTGAGCCTTATTTGTTTATATGTTAATTGCACCCAAATTCACAATGACTGTCTGGCCGGGAACCACACTAGTGGATCCTGAGGGGTGCCTAACACCTTTCCCTTGGGATAATTTCAAGCCCTTACCCAATCTCTGGTTAATCAAACATAGAATTGAATCTCTATTGGTGTCCTAATGCACCTTAGCTCATTAGGTGGCGACTCTTCAAATGCTAAACCCAGTTCCCAAAAGGAATGAGTTGCCCCAAAATTTCATAAAGCCGATTTCGCGAGAAAAAGGTGGCGCGACATGATGTTGTTTGGGTCGTTATCAACAGACTAACCAAGTCTACACACTTTATTCCGGTGGTGAGTACGTACTCTTCAAAGAGTTTGTCCCAGATCTACATTCAGGAGATTATTCGGTTGCAGGGTGTGTCTATTTTCACCATTTTAGATTGAGGCCCTCAGTTTACTTCACATTTCTGGAGAGTTGTACAAAGTGACTTGGGTACCCGGGTAGAGCTCAGCACAGCTTTTCATCCGCATATCGATGGGCAGTCAGAGCGGATAGTTTAGATTCTTGAGGATATGCTCACAACATGTTTGATTGACTTCAGAGGGCAGTGGGGTCAATTATTACCTTTGGCCGAGTTTGCTTATAACAACAATTATCAGTCCAACATCGAGATGGATCCATTTGAGGCCTTGTATGGCCGGTGAGGTCATTTCCCCATCGGTTTGTTTGAGACTGACGAGGCTAGGTTATATGGCACTTGTTTGGTAAAGGATGCCTTGGATAAGGTAAAGTTGATACAGGAGCGACTTTCCACAGCTCGGTCCAGACAGAAGAGTTACGCGGATTAGAAAGCGCGTGATTTATCATTTATGGTGGGCGAAGGTTCTCTTAAAAGTATCGCCGATGAAGGGTATCATGAGGTTCGGAAAGAAGTTCCAATTGAGTCTGAGGTTCATCGTTCCATTTGAGGTGTTGGAGCGAATTGGAGAGGTTGCTCATAGGGTTGCTTTGCCACCCAGTCTATCGGGAGTTCATCCAGGTTTCCATGAGTCTATGATCCGGAAGTACCTTGCCAACAGGCCACATTTGTTAGATTACAGTACGGTTCAGCTAGATGAGAGCTTGGGTTATGAGGAGGATCCAATTGCTATTGTTGACAGGCAGGTCCGCCAGTTGAGGTCTAAGAAGATTTCAGCGCTAAAGGTCCAGTGGAGGGGTCAACCAGTCGAGGAGGTGGCTTGATAAACCGAGGGGGACATGCGTAGCAGATATCGACACTTATTCAGCACTCCATGTATGATTTTTGGCCGATTCGAGGACGAACGTTTATCTAAGAGGTGGAGAATGTAATGACCCGATCGGTCGTTTTTCTTTCTAGATTCCCATTCCCCTATTTAAGACTTCCCATCTGTCCCTTTATTGTTTTATAACTTGCGGGAATGATTGGCTTGGTTTTGGAAGGGTTCGGGTTGAATTCGGAACACTTAGTTCCTTAATAGTAGCCTAGATGGCCAAGTTTGACTTGAGTCAGCATTTTGAGTAAACGACCTCGGAACCAGGGTTTGAAGGTTCCAATAGGTTCCTATGATGATCTTCTTCACGACCCAATTCTATTATAGGCCGTGATGGCGCCCAGCAGCGTTGCTAGGCAAGCCAACAGTGAACAATCTTGTGATTCCCCCTTTTTAATAGGTTTTCCAAGTAATAACTTTCCTTAAGTTTAAAAGATTAAATAAATAACAGATTAAAATAATTAAAACGAAAGTAGCTGAGTGCAATCATAACCATAAAAATAAAACCACAACCATGAGTCTACTAGTGTGTGCCAAGACCTGGTGTCACAAGTGTATGGGCGACTAGTAGAATATACAAAAGATTACTACTCTACCGTCTGAAATGAAATAGAAGGAACAATAAACAAAAGAAAGACTTCGGCTGCTGCAGAATGCCTCGGAAAGCAGTTCACCGTATAGTCTCATGAAAGGGATTAAGTATGCGCGCCGGACTGATATCCAGATGCACCTGCCTCAGATCCTGCACATTTAGTGCAGAAGTGTAGCGTGAGTACATAAACAACATGTACCCAGTAAGTATCCAGTCTAACCTCGAAGAGGTAGTAACGAGGGGTCGACTTTGACACTTACTATGGGCTAACAATAAGATGTCAAAATGATAACTAAGCATGGATTACATAAATATAGCAGAAAACTCAATAACAAGAATAATAAACACTCTTTCCGCTAAGAATATAACTCAAGTTTATTTTTCATCATTTAAAAATTTATGTATCAAGTCAATGAACAATATTAACTATAAATGGGTTCCAAAGATTTATCATATGCAAGTTATGCCGAGGTCGTACGGCCCGATCCAACATAATAATATTTAAACTGTGCACTGCTGAGGGTCGATCGGAACGAACCATTTATGCGTCTATCTTCTACCGACGCGTTCGGCCCGCTCCACAAACAGAAAATACTTTAAAGAAACACAAATTCTTAATAACAGTCAAGCGTCCCATTCAGAACTTCAAGTAAGTAAAATTTAACCTCTTACAATTCTTTTATCAATTTTTAATATGACTTAGGCAATAAAGTTAACAAGTAGGGTGCAAACATTTCAAGTATAGCATGATATGGGTCCTAGACTACCCGGACAATAGCATAATTAGTAGCTACGTACGGACTCTATTCACCTCGTACGCTCGTAGCCCCCACAAATAGGAGCACATATTAATTAATTCACCTATGGGGTTAATTCCCTCTTACAAGGTTAGAAAAGAGACTTACCTCGTCTCAAAGCCTACTTTTCGGTCCAAGATTGTGCTCAAACCCCCAATTCGGTTCCAAGCGACTCGAAACTAGTCAAATATTATACAAAATAATCAATACATGTTCAAAAGTTCATACCCTAACTATGAAAGTGATTTCCCAAGCCAATTTGAAGAATCCCTAAAATTCACCCCCGGGCCCACGTGCCAGGATTCCGGAAATTTTTGAAGAAAGTTGTTACCCATAACCTCATGAACTCAAATATATGATTTCTACTAAATTCCATAACCTATTTCGTGGTCAATCCCATTTTTATCCAAAACCTAGGTTTTTCATCTAAACCCTTGATTTCACCAATTTTTACATGTAAATCTACCCATAACCTATTTATTTAACTCATGTTGTTTAGAAATTACATACCTCAAAGTGCTAGGTGAAAAAAGCTCCAAAAATCGCCCAAGAGATGAAAGAAAATGAGCTAAATGGTCTAAGTCCCGCATTTAATAAGTTGTGCACAAGTCGTAGGTGTCGCAAATGCGAAAACTGCCCAACTTAGGCTTCTTCGAAATTGTAAAGCCTTCCTCGCAAATGCGAACCAATCGTCGCATTTGCAATACCTGCAACATCATCCAAGAAACACCAAAAAAACTGAAGCTTTTCATATCCTTCCGAACGTCCAGAACTCACCCGAGCCCTCGGGGCTCCACACCAAACACCCACACAAGTCTAAGAATATCATACAAACTCACTCACGCGATTGAAACTTTGAAATAACATCAAAAAAAATGAATCAGACGCCAAAATGCATGGATTAACTCATGAACTCAAACACTTCTAAAAATACTACCGCGCGTCTGATTCCTATCAAATCAACTCAGAATGACGCCAAATCTTGCGTGAAAGTCTTAAATGACATTACGGACCTACTCCAACTTCTGGAACTGGAATCCGAACCCGATATCAAAAGGTGCACCCTTGGTCAAACTTTCCAAAAAATTCAAATTTCCAACTTTTGCCAAATGACCCCGAAACGACCTACGGACCTCCAAATCCACTTCCGGACATGATCCTAAGTCCAAAATCACCATACAGAGCTATTCCCAGGCTCGGAATCCCAAACGGATGTCTATAATGTATAAACCCACTTCAACCTAAACTTATGAAATTCACCCAAAATGCCAATTTTTGCTATTATGCGCCGAAATGCTCCCGGGTCATCCAAACCTGATCTGAACATACGCCCAAGTCCGAAATCATCATACAAACCTATTGGAACTGTCAAATCCCGATTTCGAGGTCGTTTACTCAAAATGTTGCCCTAAGTCAAACTTAGCCTTTTAAGCCAACCTTAAGAAATCAAGTGTTCCGTTTCAACCCGACCCTTTCCAAATCCCGAACTAACCATCCTCGAAAGTCATAAAATAGTAAAAGCACATACGGGAATTCTTATTTAGGGGAACGGGATTCTAGAAAGCAAAATGACCGGTGAGGTCGTTTCATTCTCCGCCTCTTAAACAAACATTCGTCCTCGAACGGGTTTAGAATAATACCTGGAGTGCTGAATAAGTGTGGATAACTGTTCCGCATGTCCTCCTCGAACTCCCAAGTTGCCTGCTCGATTGGTTGGCTCCTCCACTGAACTTTTACCGCGGAAATCCTCTTGGATCTGAACTGATGAACCTGCCTATCAACAATGGCAACTGGCTCCTCCTCATAACCCAGGCTCTCATCTAACTGAATCATGCTGAAGTCTAATATATGTGACAAGTCGGCGTGATACCTCCAGAGCATAGACACATGGAAAACCGGATGAACTCCCGATAGGCTGGGAGGTAAAGCAAGCTCATAAGCAACCTCCCCAACTCGTCTCAACACCTCAAATGGGCCTATAAACCTTGGGCTCAACTTTCCGCTCTTCCCGAATCTCATGATTCCCTTTATCGGCGAACTTTCAAAAAAACCTTCTCGCCTACCATAAATTATAAATCACGCACCTTCTGATCCGCGTAACTCTTCTGTCTGGACTGTGCTGTGCGAAGTCGTTCCTGAATCAACTTTACCTTTTCCAAGGCATCATTTACCAAATTAGTACCATATAACTTAGCCTAGCTGAGCTTAAACCACCCGATGGGAGAACAACGTCGCCGACAATATAAAGACTCAAATGGAGCCATCTCGTGCTGGACTAATAATTGTTGTTTTAAGTAAGCTCGGCCAAAGGTAAGAATCGATCCCACTACCCTCCGAAGTCAATCACACATGCTCTGAGCATGTCCTCCAAGATATGAAATGTCCGCTCCGACTGCCCGTCGGTCTATGGATGAAATGTTGTGCTGAGCTCTACATGGGTCTCCAACTCACTCTGTATTGTTCTCCAGAAATGCGAAGTAAACTGAGGGCCTCTATCTGATATGATAGAAATAGGCACACCATGTAACCGAACTATCTCTTGAATATAACTCTGGGCCAACCTCTCTGAAGTATACGTAGTCACAACTAGAATGAAGTGTGCCGACTTGGTCAGCCTGTCGACAATGACCCAAATTGCATCAAACTTCCGCAAGGTCCACGGCAACCCAACTACTAAGTCCATATTAATGCGCTCCCAATTCCACTCCAGTATAGTCATCTGCTGGAGTAGGACACATGGCCTTTGGTGCTCATACTTAACTTTCTAGCAATTTAGGCACCTAGCTACATATTCAACTATGTCTTTCTTCATCTGCCGCCACCAATAAGGTTGTCTCAGATCGCGATACATCTTCGTAGCACCTGCAAGAATGGAATATCGAGAACTATGTGCCTCCTCTAGAATCCTCCCTCAAGCCATCGATATTAGGAACACAGAGACGACCCTGGAGTCGCAGAACACCATCCTCGCCGATGGAAACCTCCTTGGCACCACCCTTTAGCACCGTCTCTCTAAGAACCATCAAATACGGATCATCAAACTGTCAAGCCTTGATCTGCTCCAATTGTGAAGACTGGGCAACGACGCATGCAAGAACTCGGCTGGGCTCTGAAATATCCAACCTCACAAGTCTGTTAGCCAAGGATTGAATGTCCAAAGCTAGTGGCCTCTCCTCTGCTGAAATGGATGTCAAGTTACCCATACTCTCTGCCTTTCGGCTCAAGGCGTCCGCGACTACATTTGCCTTGCCCGAATGATAAATAAAGGTGATATCATAATCCTTCAGTAACTCAATGCATCTGCGCTGCTTCAAATTGAGATCTCTTTGCTTGAACAAATACTGCAAGCTGTGATGATCAGTGTAAACCTCACAGGACACCCCATAAAGATAGTGCCTCCAGATCTTAAGAGCATGAACAATCGCGGCTAACTCTAAATCGTGCACATGGTAATTCTTCTCATGGATCTTCAGCTGATGTGAAACATATAAAATTACTCGCCTCTCCTGCATCAATACACAACCCAAGCCAACGGATAAAGCATCGCACTACATTGTATAC